TGTTTAGTTTCCTTGCCCGCTGTAAGCTCTCAGAGTGTTGGATCCATATTTATTTTCTTTACCTCTGTATATCCCCACCTAACACAGCGACTGGCACACATTGGGGCTTCACAATATATATGTTGAATGGATGAGAGTCTTTGAAAACAGTTTTAAAATATTAGTCTAGTATATAGACAGAATTAGGGGCCAACTAATTACATAAGAGAAGGATCCTTTGCTAAAGCAGAGATTATCAAAGGTTTCCTTAAAGACTGAGCCTACCTGATGCATCTAACACAGGGTTCAACACGAAAAACTCCAAATTACTGAAACCTGACTAGAAATATGAACTGGGCCTAAAGGCAATCACGTAGTGCTTATATCAGAGACATTGAGATTCCACCTACATGCCTTCTTCTTCATCCCTCTGCAGAGGAAACAACAGGTTGAGGTTGTTGCTATCGCTCCCGAGAATAGTTTTATTCTTTTAGTAGATAGGCATGTAAACATAAAAATATGGAGTAAACATCATTATTGTATTACACACCTCCTACCCATTTGCATTTTGTTTTATTCACTCTTAGTTTTTGAAATTTATCCCCTTTGATATAAGTATATCCAGTTTGTCCATTTTAACTGCGGTAGAGTATTCCATTTTGCGACTAAACTTCAGTCTATTTGTTCATTCTCCTAGCGATGGATAAAGTCTTTCTCATATTTATTATGGCAAATCAGGCTGTAATGAGCGTCTTTGTATGTGTCTCCCTGTGCATGGTAAGAGCTCTTGGTGCCCATTTCTGGATGAGGAAATTGAGGCTCAAGGCACTTAAAGGGCTTCTCCAATGTCAGGCGGTTAGTCAAGTTAGGGCCAGAATTCACATTCAGCCCACGTGTTTCTCTTTGCTGCGTTTACTTCCCCAGAGGCTGAGAGGCCCTCTGGAAAGGGGGTGTGCTGCTTGGAGAGGGGTCTGAGAAAGGAAGCTTCGCAGATGCCTCATCAGATTGGCCTGAGAATTGCTTCTCCGTTGCCTGGTGCTGATCCCTGAGCAAAGACATGTCGGGGACTCCACGGATGTGAAGACAGTGCGGGATGGATGATCATAAGTCACGGGGTCAAGACCCAGCTTTGCCATTTCTGAACTGTGGGACTTGTGGCCTGTTGCCTAACTTTTCTGAATGTCATCTCTAAAATGGGGATTATAGCATTCACACCTCATAGGTTGGTTGTGGCCCCAAGGAAGATGATGTGCGGGGCAGAACCGTGTGAATAAAGTGTGCCACATTCACGAACCTTTGATGAGTTAAATCTGTTGGTGGAAATCCAGAAAATGTCACTCAGTTTTTGGCTCTTGATAATTTGTCACCTGTAAGCTAGAGAAGATAAATGAAATTTAAAGCCAGACTTGTTCTGGTTCCCTTGAGAATGTGATGGTCTGAGAGCAGGAAAGGGTGCTGTCTCAGGGACCAGCAGCCCTGAGCTCTGTGAGGTCTGAGGGGACAGCTCATGCTGCAGACACCTCTGGTCTGGTGTGGCAGAACTCCCATCCAGCCAGCATGAGCACGTCTAACGATGGGGACGAGTGGCCAAGGTTCTGGGCTTTTCTGATGAGGTGAATATGGGTCCTTGTTTCTTGCCTTTAAGAAAGGGGTTAACTAAAGTGAATGCATTTGCCAAAAATGGGCTAGGCCTCGAGTTTTGGAATGAGTGATAGGTGGGCTGTGAGTTAAGAGAGGAGAAAACGTGGTGTCTGAGGATGCTGAAGTGGTGAGAGGAGCTTACGGGGCTGAGTCTCCGGAGCCACAGTTGGTTCTGTTCCCGTAGAACTTAGCGGTAAGTGTGGCTTGGCATGTGCCAGCTATCAAAAAGACAACATAGTGGGGCTGGCCTGGTGGCACAGTGGTTAGGTTTGCACGTTCCGCTTCTCAGCGGCCTGGGGTTTGCTGGTTTGGATCCTGGGTGTGGACATGGCACCACTTGGCATGCCATGCTGTGGCAGGCGTCCCACATAGAAAGTAGAGGAAGATGGGCATGGATGTTAGCTCAGGGCCAGGCTTCCTCAGCAAAAAGAGGAGGACTGGCAGTAGTTAGCTCTGGGCTAATCTTCCTCAGAAAAAAAAAAAAAAGACAACATGATGACTTTCACACTTATTTTTCTTCTACTATTCTCTTCTTCCTTCTTCAGTTTGCTTCTGAAGCCCAGCTCTGTCTTCCTTTTGCTGAGTGCAAGAATGGTTTGAGTCCCTCAGCATCTTCACTTTCTAGTTAGAATAGACCTGGCCTTAGGTGGCTCCATGTGCATTCAACACCTGCAGTGGTGTTGGAACATTAGACAGTCAGAGCTGGAAGGAGCTCAGACCCTGAGCGTACATTTGCCAGATGAAAATCCAAGGACCAGAGAGAGAAAGAGACTCCCTCAGGATCTCACAGCCACTGAATGGCATACAAAGAATCAGAACCAGGTAGCAGTGCTCTTTTCACCTTTTGTGGTGGACTCCTCACCCTGCAGGAGTGTCCAACATGGCTCCTCACCCACGGCTGGCTCTTCATGTCTTTGCTGGTAGCCAGGTCTTTGGTGTCTCCTTGAGCGGCATGAGGTCAGTTAGAGTCAGACTGTATCCTGAGTGGCCCTCTGAGGTCTTACCAAGAAGGAAAGAAGTGTCTTATCTACCACTTCCTCCATCCCTTTGGCCAATCTCACAGCCTGGTTAGGAATGGGGAGCCATTTACATGACTTGGGAATATCAAACCACTCACTTTGGCCAGTCCTTTCCTCCTACCAGAGATAGCAGCAGTTGGTAATGCCTATGACAAATAAAAATGGCAAGCAATAGCATATGTTGGAGGATATGAGGAAGCCATTTGGTATAAACCTAATTCGGCCTAACCTTGTCTTTCCAAAAGGGCCTGACTGTGGCTGTTGAGCATGCATTGTATATCTGCTTTAGATATTCCCTATGGCAAGAACAAAAGTCCTTGAGATAAAGGTGCAACTTCCCTCCCCCTCCCAATGTTGGCATTCCCTTAAGGATTAAGCATCTTTCCTTAGGCTAGGAACTGATTGCTGTGCTCACCCGTGACCAGCCAGCTCGAGACAATAGGCTTGCCTCCTGCTACGCTCTCTGAGATAGCAGACCCACTACCTACTGTGTCCATCAAGCACTGTACTGACAGGGCAATCTTGTGACTATGGTGGGAGGGACATTTCAATCATATGTGAAACGTCCTGTATGGAGGTATATAACCTCTCTGTATACCTCACTTCTTTGGTGCCCTTTCTTCCTTTGGGAAGAAAGGCCCCAGGCCATGGTCCTCAAATTTCAACTCAGAATAAACTCACCCAAATTTTCATTTATAGATTGGTTATGGATTATTTTCATCGACACCTACCTGGAAGACTACTGAGAGTGATTCAGAGGCTGAAGTAGATCTGTGATCCATTACTGCTGTCTGCCATGAGCATGGGTGTGAGGAGTGGTGGTATATGTGGTGTGTATTTACATTCCTGCCTTCCTCGTGTCTGATATCAGCATTGTCTCCAGGGCTCGCCCAAGGGCCTGGGAGATGCAAAAATGGCTGTATGAAGTCTTGCAGTGGTTGTTACAGGAAGCACGGATCATGTGAGGAATTTCTTTCTCAACCTGAGGGTGATGCAACCCTCCTGCCTTTCTCCTGCCCTCAGAAGAGCAGGTGACCCAGTTCCTGGCCACGGAGATCCTGACTAATTGTGCCCCCCCTCCAAGCAGAACCTCACTGAACCTTAGAAGCAGAAAATTCAGAAACAAAAGCAAGAAATAAAAGTGCTGTCAGAAAGAATGTACATAGAAGCCTGAAGTTGTGCCTTCATAACTGAATAAATAAGTCCTTGAGCAATAATTTGTTTGCAAGCTGTTAATTAGCAGCATAATTAATTTCTGCAGATTATAAATAACAGAGCATAAAGTGGCATTCCCAGGAGAGCCAATGAAAAATTACCTAAGCCATTTTAAGAACCAAAAATAGTTCACAATGTAACAGATTTAAATGGGCTCCATGGACTGGATGATGCCACTTTCCCTTTCCTATGGGCTAAAAGAAAGAACAAAAAAATCTCCAGAAAATTCAACAGAAATCAGAAAGTCAGAAATTTATTGGCAAAAAGCAGAGTTTCATTAATCACCCTGTTCTCTCTTATGCCTGGCATGTCAAGAAGGAAAAAAAAAAAATCTCTGTTTATCTCTGCTTCAAACAAACAGCCACATAAGTAGATTATTCCCAACAGAAAGATTTTCCATATACTCTAATCTCAGAGCAATCATTCACTACTCTAAATGAGCAGTTACTTAAAATGTTAAGAAGGGATGCTAATTAGCTCAAGGAAAACCTTGCCAAGTTTTTAATTTTCAGAAAATAAAATGAAGATAAGGAAGACCTCTCCACCTTTTGCAGCCTGAAGCCATTGATTCATATCTCATCTCTTGCCTTGGTGCCTCCCGGGTCTTAGGATCAGGACTGTGGGATGCTGGCTGGGTGGTATGAATTGATCTCTAGGTTTAGAAGCTAAGGGTAAAAGTACTCTTGAAGTTTAAGGAGAAGGATCCTTAACTTTATTTATAACCTGGAGTCTTTTACAGAAGGATTTAAGTGACCTACCAAAAGATTTTTAAAAAAAGTGATAAAATGAGTCTGCAGAAAACCAAGGTGGATGGATAGTGGAAAGAAATTGACCTAAGAAGAATGAAGTAGATATTCCGATTATCACAGTTAGCAGATGCTGCAATTTGGCATCACTTGGCTCTGAGCTTCCCAGTAGCCAAGGTGAAGAGGACCACATGTTGCTAAAGAGTTTGTGTTACCTGAAAGGAGAACAGGTAAGAAGCAAGGGAGCATGGCTTGTAAGCTGTGTAATTGGTGGTTAAGGCCTGGGTTTCAAACCAGACAAACATAGGTTCAAATTGACCTCTTCATATACAAACTTTGTGATCTGGGCAAGCTACTTAACCTCACTGTGTCCCAGGATTCTTCTTTATTAAAAAAAAAAGTGCTCACTTCAGTAGCACATATACTAAAATTGGAATCATACAGAGAAGATTAGCATGGCCCCTGTGCAAAGGTGATAAGCAAATTCGTGAAGCATTCCATATTTTTAGAATAACCAAGACAAAAAATAACAAATGTGGGAGAGGATATGGAGAAGAGGGAACCCTCATCCACTGCTGGCGGGAATGCAAACGGGTGCAGCCACTATGGAAAACAGTATGGAGAGTTTTCAAAAACTTAAAAATAGAAATACCACTTGACCCAGCCATCCCACTACTGGATATTTATCCAACGAACATGAAATCAACAATACAAAGAGACTTATGCATGCCTGTGTTCATTGTAGCATTATTCACAATAGCCAAGACATCAAAGCAACTCAAGTGCCCATCAACTGATGACTGGATAAAGAAGATGTGATATATATATCACATCTCATACATATATACACATACATATATATGCATACAATGGAATAGTACTCAGCCATAAAAAAGACAAAGTCGTCCCATGGGCAACAACATGGATAAACCTTGAGGGTGTAAGGGTATAAGAGAGATAAGCCAGACAGGGAAAGACAAACACAGCATGACTTCACTCATATGTGGAAGATAAACAAACACGCAGACAAAGAGAACAGATTAGTGGTTCCCAGAGGGGAAGGGTGTTGGGGGTGGGCACAGGGATGGAGGGGCACATATATACAGTGACTGACAAATAATAACGTACAACTGAAATTTCGCAATGTTGTAAACTATTATGACCTCAAGAAAATGTTTTCAAACACTCTTTTTATTTTGAAGTAATTTTGGACCCGCAAGAAGTTGTAAGAATAGTACAGAGCGTTCTCTTCACCCTTCTACCAGCTTCCCCCGGTGATAACATCTTGGATTTTAAAAAACATTATCAATACCAGGAAATGGACATTGAAACCATACTATCAATAAAAGTACAGGCCATATTCAGATTTCACCTGTCCCAGGTTTGGCTTTTTTTGAAAAAATAAGTAAAATAACAATAATAATCATCATAATGCCTAACCACAAGGTGTTTGTAAAGACTCCATGGCATAACACATTTGACTCATTTAACATATAGTTGGCCACATAATATACTCAATACCCTCAATAATACTCAATAAATGGTAGCTGCTACCTTCCTTTTCATTAATATGTGAGTTAATGAGAAGAAGGTCTCGAGCCATAGCAGCTACATGATGTTTCTTAGAGACTAAATGTGTCTAACCTTTTGTTATCAGCCCAGATGTCCAGTGGGAAGACAGATATGTGGCCAGGTGTGACAGGGGTTAGACTAGAAACAGGCTTCCTTGAAGAATGAAGAAATGCAGACTGGCACGTTTAATCAGGGTCTTGATAAGAAAACAGGAAGAATCGAAGCATCTTCGTTTCTATTTCAGATAGTGGCTTATTTTCTGCTTCCCCAGCCATCCAGAAAGTAAGAGCTCCTGTCTTATCCCTCTGATATAAAAAGAACAAAATGCCTAATTATAGATGGTGCTTTTCTCAGATCCGAGCCAACGCTGCAGAGGAGCAGGGCATGAGTCGGCAGTTTTATGGTTGCCTCTCGTGTGTGTTCGAACATTTCTGCAGACGTTGGTACTATTCTATTCAGTTCCATTTGCCATAGCTAAGCTTTTATTATATTTGCGCATTTCATGGTGCTTGCTAGGCACTACAGGATACGCAAGATGAAAAACAGATGATTTTACCCCCAAGGAGCTTATCATCTAGTGAGGATATGACAAGGACACACACTCTAATATTATTTCCCGTTGAATGTATGTATTACCAGCTATTTTATTCAGCTGTTGAGTAATACCGTCTCAGGCATAGTAAAGTGACAATAAAAGGACTATCTGCTCTAGGAGGTATTGCCCCCCAAATTTCTAATATTATTGGAGAAGAGGGAAAAATTGTTTATTCATCTAGTAAATATCAAGCACTAGTACTATGTGCTCGGTCATTTTCTACATGTTGCGGGCTCAGCAATGAACAACATAGACCATATTCCAGTTCTAATGGAGTTTATCTTCCAGTAGAGAAAGAATATGGAAGATTGTGAAAACAAATGAAGAAAACAGGTTGAAGAGTAACTGGTAGGGGGTAGGATGTGACTGGGAGACAACAGGAAAGGAAGACTGCCCTGCAGAGGCCCCACTGGATGTGACAACTGCAGAATGGAGAGGATCCAATCATGTGAAGCTGAGGGGGCGGTGGGAGAACATGGCGCACAGATGGACCAGCACATGCACTCCTACAGGACATGAGATGGAGTGATGATAACTCTCTGTACAATGAAGGTGCCTAACACTTACAAGTGGACTCAAAGTGCCAAAGTCATGGTTTGGAAGGTCAGAGACAAAGGAACGTTCTTAGGTGGTGAGAGTGAGCTTCCCAGAAGAAGGAGACATTTAACTTGACTCTGAACACAAAATCTTCTGGAGAGATGGAGAGGGGATAGCCTTTTTCTGAGAAATGGATGGAACAAACGCCCTTCTGTGAATGGTCTCGTTTGGGAGAGTGTGAAAATGAGAAGAGTGCTGAGAACAATTATGGGGGCTGAAAAGATAAATACATGTCTATTATTATTACCATCATTGTTATTATTACTTAAATAGGAACTATTACTACTCATTGCTTATTATTCTTAACATTAAAATATTTAATAACATTAAACATTTATTAAAAGTTTACCATGTGTCAAGGACTGTGATAAGTATTTTACCTTCACTATCTTATTATTATCCACATTTTTTCTTAGAGTTGAAGTCAAGTAACTTACCCAAGGTCACTTGCCTAAGTGACAGAGCCAGGAGATGAGCTGCCTGACTTCAAAGTTCATGCTGCAATATATGAAAATATATTTTTTGAATATGTGCTGTAGAATTTGTTTCCAAAATCTTTCTCTCTGAGATCTCAGAGGATTTGGCAAAGGCACACTAAATTCTATGGAATAATGAAAGAATACAGCGTCTAATAGGTAGATAACTTTAATATCATCGTCAGTGGCAATGACATCATTCTGTATCTTTGCCATAATCTTGCCCAGTGTCAGCAGCGGTGATGGTGGTAATGGGTGAGTCTAGGAGGGTTAAATGGTGTCAGGTAGAGGAGTAGGTTGTACCGAGCTGCTCATTTTCTTACTTGGCTCCTTTTGTGATAAGCAGTAGGATTTGACTTTGGCGAGAAAGCACAATACTTCCCACTGATAGAGCATGTGGCCCTGGAATAAGTTTTTTCTGTGCCAAGCAAACTGGTTCTTGTACATATTAAGTGCATGGTTGAGACTGTTACCTGATAAAGCGTGGCAGCTGCCTTTAAGAGTGCTATGCTTCCTGGGCATAGGTCCAAAGTCATGATGCTAAAGTGAAAGTGTCTGATTGGAGCATAGGAGTAATGATAGTAAGGTTGTGGCTTTCATCACACTGCACCCATGACCTAGTTAACATCACTCAGCCCATGGCCACAGTTGGAGCCATGATCTTGGTACTTTGTCTTGAATACGTGTACTGTTGTCCACAAAGGACACTGATCCAGAGAGTAACTGATAGAGCACACTCACAAGAACTAGATTCTGTCCCAAGATAACATGCGCAAAGCAGCAAGCAAATTGGCTTCACTGACATGGCACAAACACACTCAATAAATTGAGTCTCTTTTCCTTTTCAAATCCTCTCTCTGCCCCATCCTCCCTGGTGCTTCTTTTGTGCTATTGGACAACCCATTTCCCCCTCTGAAGCTCACCTTTATCTTCTCTAGACAAAGGTTGGTCTGGGATGGCAAATTGTGTTAATCTGACATGCCAACTTGGATCTGTTTTCAAGGAGCACTGAATGAAGGAGAATTTTGTAGCTATGTCCAGGCTCGAAAGGAAAGAGTTCTGTGATTGATTGGTAATGTCTGCCCTGGACACGAGAAGAAAAGCTTGTGCATGCACATGCTATGTATTGACTTGGTTGGTTTTAAGTTTCTGCTGTATTTAATGTTCTTTGATTATGTCTCAACAACTCGTCATACATGCAGGAAACTGATCTAAACTGCCCTATTGGGGATGGATCAGCAGGGTCGTTTTTATATTTGAGAGTAGCATGTTGTTATGGCAACTCGAACAATGTAAGAACAATGCAAGTCTTGGCAGCTGTAGGAGGGAGTGGGCCAGGCTATCGCAATCATTGCAAACACTTTTCTCCTGTGACTCTTGTCTTCTTGCCAGCTGTGTGGACCACAAAGGCACTCTCCCTTTTAGGTCTGCTGTGGAAGAACAAATGATTGAAGATCTGGACCTCTGCATGGTGTGGGTGATGAGACGCCCCCAACGTGGTTAAAAGTAGTGAACAGCATGGGAGGCACAGAACGGGCGGGGGAAGGGTGACCTTTATCAGGCTCTGATTCACTCCTGCTCCTGACTCTAACTAAGCCTGGGCAGCACGGCCCTGTCTTGACTCATTATTATTTAAAGTTGCAGCTTCTTCTCTTCTCTTTATCATTTTCTGTTCACATTTTCCATTACATTCTCTAGTTTGGAATGGACAAAATTTTCCCTACTCTGCTAGGCTTTTTTAGGGTTCCATATTCTTATCAGGTATCCTGTAGGGGGAATTACAGACTTCTGAGCACGTCAACTAGCTTTTTCCTTCTTCTCCATGCCATGTGTCATTGTCTGAGGGTAAAAGTTTACAATCATAAAGACCTTCGTAGTATATTAGAGATAGTAACCATTTATTTGTCATATATATATTTGTCACATATATATGTTATATATACACGTTGCAGATTTTCCTAAAACAGTATTTATCTTGTGATTTTGTAGATTGAGTCCAAATTAATAGTAAAAAAGACAATTCAGAGTTATTTGCTGAGGGAATCCAAATGGGAAATAAGCATATGAAAAGATGCTTAACCTTGCTACTAATCAGCAACATTTCTAAGTAAAGACATAGTGCAAACATTTTAAGTACATTATCACTCAGTGCTGGTGATGCGCCAAGGAAAAGGAAGTACTCAAACATTGCTGAGGGAGATGGAAATTGTTGCAACCGGTTGGAAAGCAATCTGGCAGTATCCCTTTAAAGTGAAACACATAGATAT